CTAGTACATTAGTACATTTTTGCAGTGCATGATGTTCACATTCCCTGTGGGGAGTTGGTACACATATAAAACACATCTCAATTCTTTCTCAACCCCCTCCCCTCCCCTTCCCATGTCCTCCCATCTCTTGATACCCTTGAAGTTTTATTCAAGAAATATTTCTCTGATCCTACCTCAAAGACATTGTCCTACACTACTGCTATTGAATGTATAATTTAGCTTTTATATTTCTGTCTTTTGTCTTCTTGAGTCTTATCGTTGTGCAGGGTAATATTTTTATTTTTCTCCACACAGCGAGATGATTTCTCAACCCTTATTTGCCAAACAATGCTTCCCTTTCCTCACTGTGTTTTATGCTACTTTTGTACATATGGGTATATACGTTTCTATCTTAGGTTCATTCTCCCCCGAAACAGACCTTGCAATAAGGACACGAATGTAGGCAGATCATGTGTGAGATGATCCATGAAACACTGGTAGAAGAACAAAGCAAAACAGAGCAGAGAGAGTCCAGTATGGGCTGTAACTGAGTACATGGGTACTATGCGTGAAAGGCTCGATGTGTCCCAGCAGCACTAGATGACAGTGTATCAGCGCCATCCCAGTTGGGGGAAGAGGCAGGTAAGGTATTTGTCCGCCAACAACGTTTGGTCACCAACTGACAGCTGCTGCGGACAGTAAGGGCCCTTCTGGGTGCCCAAGCATAGGAAGGGGAGGCAGAGCCGTGAGAAGCTAAGTCTGGAGAGCACGGAGTACCCCCGGGTGGTAAATGCCAAAAGGATTACAGTACTGATGGCGACTGTTGCAGTCTCAATTTTATTAGCTCATTTCTCTGTTTCTGTGCCATTATTGTGCCTTTTGCATTTCTTTTTTTTCCAGATTACTTCAGTGTTATAGTATGCTTTCATAGTCTGGGAGGGCGAGTTCCTACTTTTGAGCCTTTGCACTTAAAATGTCTTCAACTATTTGCAGACCTTCATTTTTTCATATCAACTTTAGTTTAAATTTAGAAATTTCCTTTAAAAATCAGAACAACTCTTCTGATTGCATTGATGTACGCAATTTACATTGATTAATTTGGGGGAGAGATTTCATCCAAGAAACTTCTTTCTGTATATTCACATCTCCATCTATTTCCTTCATTAGAGTTTAATTTTTCACATGAATCTATTGTATAGTTTGGTTCTTTTAACTAAATATTTATGGTTTGGGTTGCCACAGTGAATGACACATCGCTGTTTCTCAGTATCTGCGGGGACCTGGCATCAGCACTTACAAGGATATAAAAACCCATGGATGCTCCAGTCTCTTATATAAAATGGTATGGTATCTGCATGTAATCTATACAAGTCTTCCTGCAGTCTTTAAATCCTCTCTAGATACCTGTAGTACCCAGTACAATGTAAACACTATGTAAGTAGTTGTCATGCTGTTAGTTTTTATGCTGTACTTGCAGGGAAATGATGAGAAAAAGTCTGTATGCTGTCAGGACAGAGGCAATTTCCCCCCTATTTTCATTCCACAGTTGGTTAATTCTGCAGATGTGGAACTCATGGATTCGGGACTTTAAACTATTTAATGTTACTTTTTCTAACTGAAAATAAATGTTATTAATTTTTTATATATTGTTTTATATCCAAAAATTGTATGAACTCTCCTTACAGTTCTAATAACTTAAGACAAGAACTTTATTAATGTAATTCATTACAATTACAGACTAAAGTGGAAAAAAACATATTGCTGACCTCGAATTAGCACAGTTATAGCATTTGATTAATTTTAAATTTTATTTAGGATTAACAGAGTTCTTAGGAAGAAAGACAAAGAAGAGTGTTCTTAACTATGTGAAGGTTAGAGGAAGTTTTTACTTTCAGGAGCTTTACAGACACTGTGTAACACAGAATACAGGCTTTAGCCAATGACATAAGGAAAACTTTTTTCTTCAGTGCTTACTATTTTACTACGGAATTTTGGGGGCATCAGATATTTTCCTAAGAATTTATTCATTTACCTAGTTTTCAAAACTATTGCCAAATAGCTGTCTATACTACTTTTTGGGTAACATTTTACTGAAGTACAGCCCAAATGCCATATAAGTCTTCTATTTGAAGTGTACAATTAAATGTCTTTTAGTGTATTTACAGAATTGTGCAATCATTACGATAGTCAATTATTCATAATACTCTTTGAAAATATTTTAAAATCTCCATTTTGCTTGGTTTTTGATCTTTTTTCAGTCTATACCTTATTTATCTTTGTTTTCTTCTGTTTTTTAAAATCAGTACTGCTAATTAAAGCTCATTAACTTCTTGAAAGAAAAAATGTATGCTTTTGTCAATATTGTTGGCTTGTTCTCTAATTTCTCTTATTAAAATTTATTTCCATCTTTGTTTTTATAATTTGTTTCATTAATATTTCTTTTCATTTTCCCTGTTATTCTTTTTCTGTCAAATGTTTAGTTTATTTTTAAATTTTCTTTTTTTATATGTATACATGTTTGTATATACATGTATACATATATGCATATATATTTATCAAGAGGGAAGAAAATGTAGAATCATGTATATGTATATACTATGGTTTATATTTAGATGTCTCCCCAAAGCCTCATGTGCTCACGGGTGGGGCTTTTGGGAGCAGTAGCTGGATCAGGGGTGCGTAAAACTGGATCAAGGATATATGATACTGGATTAGCTCACTGATTGATCTAGTATAGTTCTGGCTGTGGATGATGGACTTACTAAAGAAAGAAGCTCCACCTTTGGTGTAGGTGGTACCAACCAATACGTGGGTAGCCGGGATGGAATAAAAAGGGAAAGAAGGGGACCAGGGATATAGCTCAGTAGCAAAGCATCTGCCTGGTGAGTGCAAGGTCCTGAGTTTGATTCCCGGTTCCAGAAATAAAGAGGGGAGGGGGGAAGGAAGTCTTGCTTCTCCCTGTCTGTCATTCTGTGAACTGTTTCTCTCCTGCCATGTCTGTCTGCCATGCCTCCCTGCCCTGGAGCGAGCTGACTACAGACTGACACCTCTGCAAACTGTGAGCTGAAACATACCTCTCCTCTGTTACCTTGTGAGTGTCGGTAATTTGTCCCAGCCATGACAAAGTGACTAGGCTAGTACATATAAGTATATAAGATATATATAACACATATATTTATATACACATAAACATATATATAAAACATAAGCACATTATATAATACATATGTAGGTATTTTTATATAAACATATAAACTATATATGTAGAATATATGTGTATTTATTAGGAAAGAAGAAAATTTTTATATATATAGAAGCAAAAGAAAATTACATATACTGAAGAAAGTGTATACATTTTTCTCTCCAACCAATATTTTAGCTGCGGACTACAAATTTTGACTTATTATGGTTTTGTTATTAAATTCTAAGTATTATGTAATTTCCTTTTACATCCAGGGTCATTTACAAAAGTGATACTTATTTTCCAAACAGATGAGATAGTTAAATTACACATTTGTCAATAATTTCTTATTTCTTTATGTTTGGAAACCACTTAAATAAATTCTTTTTAACTTATAGAATTTTCCTGCCTGTTCGAACATATGTTCTATTTTTTTTAATCAACTTTATTTTTTTTAATTTTAAAGATAAAAGGAGGGAAACATTAACAGACATACAACATTTTACAACATCACAAGCACAGTACAGACAATACAGAGTTACAAACAAAGTGGTAGGGAATTTATGTTCTATTTTTTAAATGGCCCCAACTACATGCAAGATGAATGGGCATACTATTTAGTGTAAATTTTACAAAATGTTTTAATTGCTCAAATTTATTAATTATATGATTATGTCTTCGATATATTTATTTATAAGCTATCTGCTTTAACTATCAGTTTTTGAGAGAGCTATGTTAAAATCTCCAAGTGTAACTACCGGTTTACTTATTTTTTCCTGAATTTCTACCAGTTGCTGAATAAACTTGGAGGCTGCATTGTTAGGACATGTTAATAACGGCTGTACTTTCTCGTTTGTTGCTCTTTTTTCAGCGTGTAAGGTCCCTATTTGCCTGTCATGATTGCTAATCTGAATTCTATTGTATCAGACATCGACTGCTATTCCAATTTTCTTTCAATTCACATTTGCTTGGTAGGTCACTTCCCACCCTTCTGTGCTTTTCTTTTGTTGTTATTTTCTGTATCAAGTCTGGCTCTTTCTAGATCTTAAACAAACAAATGAAAAAACACATCTAAGAAACCCTGTTTTTAAAGTGGTATATTTTTAGCACACTCACTTTCATTATAATTGTAGGATTTATTTTTGCTTTCTTACTTTACTTACTTTACTTGACTACTTCTTTTCATATTTACCTGTTTTATTTTAATAAAATTATAATTCTGACTTATGTTAGAATAGTTGTGCCAAAGCTCAATTTATTATTTCATTTACCATGATACTTTGAATAAATGGTAGTTTCCACCAATTTGTGTGAGAATAATTCTTTACCTTAATCCACAATTGAAGTTCTTGTTCAGACCATAATCCATGAGGTAATATTGGAGCACCTAAAAATAAAATTATATCCATGTTAATTTTATAGTATTTCTTTTAAAATGAAATATCCATATAATTCCTTTTCAGATATTATTTCTCATCTTCACTATATAATTATCCATTTAATTTGACTAGACATTTCAACATTTGACTTAATGGAAGACATAATTATTAAATAAACCTTAATAGTATTATAATATACTACTCTCACTATTGAATTATACACATCTACATTAAAACATGTATCTGAATGTTTATAGAACTGTTACTTTTTTTTTTTTTTTTTGGTCTTTTTGAGACAATGTCTCACTATGCAGTTCAGGCTGGTCTTGAACTCACTTTGTAGCCCAGGTTGGCCTTGAACTCTCAATGATCCTCCTGCCTCAGCTTCCCGAGTGCTGGGATTACAGGCGTGTGCTACCATGCCCAGCAGCACTGTTACTTATATGAGCTCCAAAGTAGAAGCAAACCAAATGTCACCGACTAGGAAATAGATAAACAAAATGCAGTATAGCTATATAATGCAATATCCTTTGGGCACAAAAAAGAATGAACTAGTGATAAATGCCGTGACATGATGGACTTCAGAAACATGATGCTAAGTCAAACAAACTGCATTCCTAAGGAACCAGCTGTTGTATGATTCCATTTATATGAAATATCCAGACAAACTTATATCTGATGGCATGAGGACTCGTGGTTACCCGGAGCTAGAAATGGGGATCGACCGACCGCAGATGGACGTAACTGATCTGCTAGCAGTGATGAAAACGCTCTAAACTGCTTTGTTGCAATAACTGCACAACTCCTAACCTGTCTGAAATAGTCCTCAAATGTATACTTAAAACAGGAGAATTTCATGATAGATACATTGTATCACAGTAAAGATCTTTCTAAAAAGAACTACTTATTAGGGCCTTAATTATTACTGAAATAAAATTGTCACCTAGCTTACATCCTCCGAAATTACTATTTTCTCCATAGGTCTGGTTTTCTAAATCATACTAATGCAAATTATAGTATTATCTCAATGTTTTCAGCTTTTATTAACATTTAAATATGATTAGTATGGATTTTTACGTATATAACTTTGCTAAAAACAAGAGAACATCTTGTAGCAAAAGACTACACGTTTTAAAAAATGTTTAAATGTAGCAAAATTAAATACTTTAAAAATAGGCTTAAATAGAATATTCCGGCTGGCAGTATAGCTCAGTGCTACAGTGCCGACCTAAGGGTGCTCAGGGCCTGGGGTTTGATCACCAGCACTGAAAAAGGAGGAGGGGGCGGCGGAGAGCAGGGGCAGAGGTGTGTGTGGGGGAAAGAGCAGATCTATTCACCCTGAGCAGAACACTTTCTAGATCCCAGATACTCTGCCGGGCATTTCAGGTGTATTATGTCCTCTCGTCCTCACACTGACCTTTTAAGTAGATATTATTATTACAATTACTATTTCCCTTTTACAGTGAGGAAACCGAGACAAGGAAGGGCTGAGTAATTTGCCCAGGGTCAGCTAAATAGACAGGTAGAGAGGCAGATTTCAAACCAAGGATGGCTGACTTCAGATCCTGACAGTTTTTTCCCCTTAATTCCATCACTTTGCAATCGTCTTGCCTTGAATTCTCATGTTTTTACTATTGTTTTATCTAAGCTCTGGGAATGTGAACAACAGAAATGCATTAGGTCTTCCGTGGGAATGAGGATCGGGAGTAACACACAGAGATCACGCAGTCCACAAGACACAGTCGGTTTACTTCAGGCCGGATGGAACCTCCTTTGGGAACCACCACACGCACTTCTGTTGCAGAGCTCTCCTGCACACGGCACACGTGACAAACTCACTGCGCCGGGAGGCCACTCCGAGCACATCCTGTTTCCAGCAAGCAATAAAGCTGCGCGTTCAAACTTCCTTACAGAGTACTTGGAGAACTTGCTGCGTGAGGTTCTGTTTATTTCTGTTTAAAGAATGCAATTGGACGTTCTTATATTCCAGACCGGCCCCCTCGGTAACAGCTAAAGGCCCTGCCCTCCCCCAGGCTGCCTCACGACGTCCCCAGGGAGTCTCACTCCTCCCAAGTCCCAAGCTCTGCGACCTGGAAACCGCCATTAGGCTTAATTTAGTCCCAGCACTTAGATAAGATTTTAGAAGGGCACTTGGTCACCCTTCCACAAAACATATAAACACAGTCTCAGGGTAAGCACGGTACAGAAGCCAGCGTGTACAGAAAACAGCTAATCCCTCACTGAACCCAAAGGGAAAGCTATTTTCCCCTTTGCCTCGTTGTTAACTAGAGTTGATACAATTTTTCCCCAAGATATAGTACATTAGTCTGCTTTTCTCACTGCTGTAACAAAATACCCAAGGCTGGGTGGTTTGTAAAGAAGTTTACTTAGCTCAGTTTTGGAAGCTGCAAGTCCAAGATTAGGAGGCCCTGTTGATGAAGCCTCGGGTGAGGGGCTCGTGGTATGTGGGAAAGTCGCCCGGGTGATCACTTGGCATGATCTTGCGGCAAGAGAGGAAGCCAGGGTGCCGAGAAAGGCCAGTCTTGTTCTCTTTATAACAGCTCACTCTCTTGGAACTCACCAGGGTCCCAGGAGCACTACCTAATCCCTCCCAGGGCAGCACCCCCATGACCTGACAACCGTTTCCCATTCCCACCGCCTCTTAAGAATTCACCACCTCTCCAGACTGCTCTGCTGGGACACAAGAGCCCAACACAGGACAGCTCTGGGAGACCCTCAAGTCCTACTATCTCAGACGTGGACTTTAAATAGAACTACTAAGAGCAGTACTCAATACTAAAGCTCAAATAGTGCTACTATCTTCTACACCATAAAAACTGCACTGCTTTTGATCAGGTTCACCAGAATATTTATACTGCAGTATTATCTAGTAAAACAGATCTGGTTATTCTAAAAGTGGGGCCATTTTTCCTTTCCCTCTGCCAGGTAGGAAAAGACACTGTTTAACCTTGGCCAATTGATCCTTCACTGTTACTTGTTGGCTGCAGATTTCCTCACTGTGTCCCTCTTCTAAGACATTTTCCTCTTTCAGTAATGTCCCCGGAGGAAACCGTTCTCATTCATCAGATCGGCGGTGGCTGGCCCTTTATCATCTCACTGCTATTGCCTATCCTTTGCTAACTCATTTTTCGCTAAGGATGATGCATTACTGACACTTCTGCTTTTCTCTGGCTTGTGACACTTTGGTTGCTTTTAGATACATCGGTTGCATTTGCATAGTGATTGATTTTGATAGACTAGCTCCAAGTTCTGCTTACAGAGGTGGAGCATGTCCCCCAGGGCCATCCTGATGGAGCAAGGCTAAGGCTGATCACTCTGTGTACTTACCCTTTCCCCTTCCACCACGTGGAAGAGAAATAAAATTATTTTTAGTATTAAGAATAGATCTGAAGTGGAATGAAGACACAGAAGAGCAGCCTAGGAGCTCCCCAGGTAGTGCAGGGGACATTTCATCCTTTTGCTAGAAAAACATAGAGGACCTATTTTTTTATGAGACAGTTACTCAGCCAGCAGAGATGCTGTTTTGGAAATAAAACCCAAGACCTATCTCTTTTTAGGAACCAGCTGCTACCTTCCACAGCCACCGCTCGTTTACAGCGGCCTCGTCCTGGCTCCCCCAGCCCGCCCCTGGCAGTTAGCCCCCATGGGTGCAAAAATCACTGCAAGCACACCGCAGGCAACGCGCACGGAGAGCACACCTTCTTTCCATAGCAGAGCCACTTTTAAAACTGTATCTGCTTCCTTAATAAAGTTCATAAAGATTACCATCCCATTTTTTTCTGATAACAAATTTAAAATGCAGAAGGGGGAACACCTGCCTGCCTCAGGCGTGTGGGTAACCACCGGCTCCGTGGAGCTGGCTTAGGTCTGTTAGCTTGCGACCGTAAGCACGCCCATCTCTTCCACTGTCTCAGAGAAGGGGAGATCCAATCAATGAAACAAGGGCAATGAAAACAATCGTATTAAGAACAGAGTAACAGCCCCTGTTGCCCCGTCTCCAGCTGAGCGCTGGGGTAGGAGCTCGGGAAGGTCCCTGCAGTTGTGATTTTAAGTCCTGGGCGTTTTGAAAGGACGACTCCAGGGTCCGCCCTTCTCTACCTCACTGAGCGGGAAACAGAGCACTGGGCCCCCAGCACCGAGGGTTACAGCAAGGCAGTGGCTGGCGGCGGCGGCCCCCTCACCCGGCAAGGTGGAGCCTTGGAGACAAGGAACGCCATCTCCTCTCTGGTGCGCCGGCACCTTGTCACAGACGTCCTTTCCGCCTCGATTTTCCGTTTCTTTCCTCCCAGCCGGCTAAGGAAATCCCCGCTGTCTCAAACCTCAGCTCCTCCCCCGGCTTTGGCCGCACAGAGCTGGAGGGCCCGGCCTGGCACGCCCGCCCCTGCGCCTCCGCGATGAGGACGTCCCCATGCCCTGCCGCACCTGGGGCCCGCAGGACGGAGCTCAGAGCTCACCCACCCCGGCCGCCCGGCCACCGGGCACCCGCTCCTGCCGCGAGCCAGGACCGCAGCCGGCGCTGCGCGACCGCGACCCCTGCAGTGAAGCCCTGCGCCGAAAGCACTCTAAGTTCTCGGCGTCCGCCCCGGCCCGGCCGCGGGGGAGTCCAGGCAGCCGAGGGGGCGGAGGGGCGGGCCCGGGAGAGATGGGGGTTCGGGAGAGATGGGGGGTTCGGGAGGGAACGGGGGTCCGGGGTCCGGGCCCCGGGAGGGAGCGGGG